GGGGGCGGGGCTGTGGGGTGGCCCCGCCTTCCGCCTCGCCCCTCCCGCGGCCGTTGTGCCCCGCCTCGCCCCCGGCCAACGGTCACTCGCGCGGGCGGGATTCGAAGATTAACGGAAAAAACGTTTTCTGGTGGCGGAGGGAGACCCCGGCGGGCTGCAGCCGGCGCAGCGCCCGCCGCCTAGCGAGCTGCGGTGCGGCTCTGGTGAACGCACTGAGGGGCAGGTAGTTTATTTCTTTGCAATACTGGAGGCCGCTGTCCAAACCTGCATCTCTCTTCACTTACACATGTTCTCACTGCCAGTGCAAACGCATGGAGTTTGCTGCAAATTCAGTTCCACCACGAACTGCACGGGCGGGGTGCAAGAAGAGGTATCACGCTATCACAGGCTAAAAACCTCTGTGGAGTATAGTATTACTTATCCTGAATTGCATACATTCTTCAGGATTTCGCTGAATCCTTTCTTATTCAGTCAAAGGTGGAGTTAGTGCTCTGTGTGCTTAATGAAGCAAATTTGTCTTAATAGATAAGCTTTAGGAAGTAAAACAGAATGAGAAAGTTCCATGATGCTAATAGAGTTAAGGTTATGAATTTTACATAAAATAGTTAATATTTTATTAATGAGAGGTAATATAACTTTGCTAATTCAGTTCACAAATTCTTATCACAAAGCAGTGCTTGCTACCAGAAGTGATGGATGGTTTTATACAGGTTATTGTTCAACACTGAATTATTTTCTATAATGAGCCTATTCTAAAAGTCTCACAATGACTTCAGGAATATTTTAAACATTCAGTGCTTTTTGAAGATGTCACACCCTGATGTATGACTGTGAGTAGTGCATTTTATACATTGTATGCATGCAGGCCCCTGTTCGGCTCTTCCCACTGGCTGGTGTTGTGGCAAGTCCTGCTGCATCCAGACCGTGCTTGCAGCCCACGCCTGTCCCTGTTTCTGCAGCGAGCAGGGAGCTGTTGGTGGCTGTGGGGTTTGCTGTCTCTTGCAGCATCACTCCCTCTCTCCTAGTCTAAGAAGAGGTCTTGCTCTCAGTATGATACATGCACCAGAAACAGGCCAGCTGGTATCCTTGCCATCCTAGTCCCAATTTTTTCTGCCCTCTGCTCAGATATGAGGGTGTGCTGAATAAAGATGGTGTCGACATTCTTGTCGTGGGTGGATATTGCCTTGGCTCACGATGAGCTGCTGCTTGGTGAAGGGTACATGACAGAGCAGTTTTTCTATGAGAGAAATGATGATGCTGTAGAAGACCCAGGTGAGCACAAGGGCACTAAAGTGAGACCTAGCAGAGAATGCAATTAAGTGTGTGTGCATAAGGAAGAAAGTGGGGGGGCTCACCAGGGTATTGAGCATGAGCCGAGCTGGTTTGCTCCCATGGGTGAGAACAGTGCCCCAGTCCGCAAAGCGCTGACACCTTGAGTTGTCATTGCTATTAAGGAGACCTCAGTTTTCATGAATGGAGGGCCAGGATAAGCACTATAGGTCTGTAGGGCCATATGAGTGTTCCTTCACTGGATTTATGCTGCAGTTTTTAAGGCACTTAAGAGATTAATAATCAAATCAGTTTTGGCAATGCTGGTAATGTAAATCCAATGATCCAGACTAAACTAGTGCCTGGGGAAGACAGTCTCTTCCAACTGCTCCATGTCTTCATTTCCCTGCTGATGTTTAGATGTAACATCTAAAGGAATGAGATTAGCGTGTGTGTCCCAGCAAAGCCTCTGTGCAGGCAGAGGGCATTCCGTCAGAGAAAGGGGAAAAGGGATAGCAGAAGGAGCAGAAACCAGAGATGGTGCAAAGTCAGGTTTTGTGGATCAAAAAGAAAAAGAAAGCTCAGAGAAATAATAAAATATGGGTGAAATGTAAATATAAAACAAAACCAAAATGGAAATTTGCAAACAAAAATACAAACAAATAATTCTAGTGCTTGTTTTTGGCAGTGCAGTATCACCTGGTGTTCCTGGCTTAGTGTCTTAGATGGTTGAAGTTTACTTCTTCAGCAAGTGTATCAGTTGGAAGCATGAGATAGGTTCATAGTGATATAAGCCCTTAGTATATATTACTTATATCAAGATATAGGTCCCAACACTGACATTTCTTATTCTACTAAATCTATGCATGACTTTTTATTTATGCCTCCCTAAAAATTGAGAAAAATATCTCTACAAATAAAACAATATTGGTCAGGTCTGAGTGTCTACACTAGGTGGCCACATTACTTTAAATGTTCATGGTGTAAATTCCAGCATTGTGATAAAAAAGGGAGGTGGGCCAGGCTGGGGAGCACCCGTCTCCTGGGGCATATCCATGGTAGGGAGCAACTACAGACAGATAAGAGTCATAGGATGCTAAAACTTGAGATGCAGAGTAAGTAAAGATATAGGTATGATGGAAGAGTAAAAATAATCATGTCTTGAAAAAATGAGCAATTATAAACTGAAGTTGGAGATGACCAAAAGTAAATGACGGTAACTAATAGGCGTAAAAAGTGTCAGGGTTATTCTGATGTACTTGGTGCAAGAAATAGAGAAATTCTCTAGAGAGCAGTTCTTGGCAAGCTTTTGAGCTCTCACGATCAATATATTTTATTCCTCTTGGCCAAATTATATTAGCAGCTGAATTTGGTCCCTAAAGACAGCTGTACTGGTGAAAATAATTTCCATTTAAACCCCTTGATCTGATTTTCTTTGTCCAAAATGTCAAGCCTCTACTACAAATTCCATCCCCTTTGCTGCTGCTGAGGTCAAGCACTGTGAGGCCTGGGTAAGGATCGCTGCTATCCCGACAGCTTTCCCGGTGTCCTGCGGCACCTCCTGTGAGCCAGCACGGCTGCTGCAGGTGAGCCACCCTGGCACGGCCTCTCTGCTGCCCTCCTCACACCTCCGGCATGGCTCAGGGTGGCACCTGCCTCTGCACAAGCCCTTTGGTGGCCCATGTGGATCATTTGGTGTGCTCTGCCTTGACCTTGCATCCCACAAATGTTTCTTTTCAATATGTTTTTAGAAGTTTTCTGCTTTATCATGTTGCCTTTAAATCATTAATTATGTGAGAGTATGTTCTGTCCCCTGCCCCTCGCTGGATTAACAGTATTCCTTCTGGCTCTTATTTCCTTAAAAGTCCAGCTCCTGTCTTCTCAGGTCAGGAGAGTTGTCGCTTGGCGTGGGGGAAGGAGAAAGAAATGAAAATGCTTGGAAACATGTCAAAACATGTCTGTTCTATAGATCAGAAAGCAAACAATGACCCCAAATATGCTTGTGGAAGCTATTAAGGAGCTAAAATTTTGTGATATGGAGTTATTTCAATCATATTAAAGACCACCAAAGATTAAATCAAGCTTTTTTTTTTTTTTTTTTTTTTTTTTTCGGAATAACATCAGCTAGTCCAGACTAGGGTTTTATAACTATTATTATTTCACTAGAGGGCAGTCCAAGATAAAGATTGGGATGAAAACTCACATAGGTCAGATCCTGCTTCCTGCCTAGCCTCCCTCATTCCTGTGTTGCAGGTAGCCTCTCCAATCAGTTATGATTTATTTTCATCAAAAAAAAAAAGTTTATAGACTTTTTTCCTAGAAAATAGTTGTGAAATTCTGCAGGCCTGTATGAAGTTGTTTTGTTGCCTTGATTTTGTACTTTACCTAAGATAAGTTTTGGCTAAAAAAAAAAAAAAAAAAAATCTGCATTTGACTTGTTATAGAGAAAAATGACGCCTTAAAGTACTTGATGGTGTAGTGCTGCAGCCAGTGTTTGCTCCCTCCCAGGATCTGTCTCCCCCGCAGCCAGGGATGTGACTGTGCTCAGGCCTCCAGGACCACAGCCTGCTCAGGTGCGCAGACTGCAAGCTACTAAAAATGAACATTCAGGTGTGTTTTATGCAAACCTAAAACCCTCTGACGAAGTGAGAGCCAGGCAGGTAGAAGTGCTTCCCTTACCTGAGCTGTATTGAAATGATCTGTGCATCAGTGACCCATCTTTTTCCATGGGTTTTGCTCGCAGAGCTTGGGTGGCATGAGGCAGAGATCCCTGCGACTTGGTGGGTTACTCCCCTCCCGCTTGGCCTTGAGGGGCCGGAGGAGCTGCAGGCTGCCCTGCTCAAAGGCAGCACACGGGTCATGTGGAGCTATCAGCATGGAATTAGGAATCCCCAAGGCCCAAGAGATGTGAAAAGGTTCGCTAATTATATAAAAAGGTACATAGTCCTCATTTTTGAGGCTTCTTTCTCCAAGGCATCACTCCGGTAAGAGCCTTTCCTCCCAGACTCTTTCAAACTAATACAGTTACATTCTCAGGAGAGACAGTCTTTTTAATAAAATAAAGCAGCTCTTGCTCTCTCTCTGAGACACATTTTCAAAGTTCACACAAATGAAGGCCTCATTTTGTGAGGCAGTGGTCACCCTTAGGTTCCCCCAGTTTGATTGTGCTCGTCGCAACATGCCAATACTCATGTTACGTGTGTATCTCCCAAGATTCAAGTAGTGAGTTTTACCTCTTCAGAAAACAGGAAATATTCGTCTTTTGAAATTAGACTTAACAAGAAAATAAAAAAACTCTCTAGCTTCTTAAGGATTTAGTGTATTTTAAAGATATGGGTTTTGTCTATTTTTGTAACTGATCGTGTTGTATAGCTGCAAGATTCAGCTGAAATAGCCCCATGAATCATTTTTCTCACATTTTTAGCCCTGAACAAAAAGCTTCCAGTTCTGC